AAATCCATACTTTTTACTTGACATTTTATACAAGTCAATGAAATATAATAAAATAAAATAAACAAGTAAAACAAAAAATATAAAATATAAATATAAAATAAATAAAAGAAAATGATGAAATGATAGAACTTGTAAATAATAATTATGTGTTGATACTATTCACAGCAACAATTTGAGATTAATTATTCACTTTAGCAATTCATTTTATGTTTCCAAAGAATACAAAAATGATGAAAAGGAAAAAAGAATAAAAAGAATGAGAAAATTTAGATAAAAAAATTAAATTGGTAAGGTTTACAAAGAAAATAATTAATACTCGTTATCTTTTTTTTTTTATCATTTCAAAATACAATTTTTAAAATAGTAACATTATATAAAAATAAAGCAAAAAAATTAACTAAAAATAATACAATTAATTATTAACTTTATAAGGATATTGAAATATATTTCGTCAACATTGGTTTATCTCTTAAATTTAGTTGATATTAATTTATAAGACAATAAATTTTTAAACTTTTTTTTAAAAACTTTTTACATAATTAAGGGTATTAAAGGTTTTAAAATTTGGGGGCCTAAGACTCATTAATACCGATTGTAAGAGATTAACTAATTAGTTGTCGGTTATATTTTAATTGACTTCAAACGCAAATGAAAATTTCATATTTGATATAATTGGATATAAGTAATATATAAATTTTTTAAAGGAAATAATATATAAGTTAAAAAGTTTATTAGTATAATATTTTAAGTTTTTTTTATTGGTATGTTTTAAGATTTAAGATTAAAATAAATTATAAATTTATTTGTGTAATTTACTTAATATATATTTGTACCGTCTCGGCCTATTTCCGATATGGGCGTGGGAAAAAGGACCGAGACCCACGTCACCTTGCCACGAGGGATCACTCGGCAAAGGACCGATCCTATTTTGTAATACGGGTGAGCCCGATTAGAATATGACCCGACCACCCTCACAGGAGTTGTCTCGGTGAAAAGACCGACCTTATCCAACCAAGTGAGTTAGCCCGGCTTGGGTATGGTCGGCCAGGGGGCGCTCGGCCATGGTGAGATCGACCAGGGTGCGCTCGGCCATGGTGAGATCGGCCAGGCTATGCTCGACCATGGTGAGATCGGCCAGGGTGTGCTCGGCCATGGTAGATCGGCCAGGATGCACTCAGCCATGGTGAGATCGACCAGGCTGTGCTCGACCATGGTGAGATCAGCCAGGATGTGCTCAGCTGATGTGAGATCGGCCAGGCTGTGCTCGACCATGGTGAGATCGGCCAGGGTGTGTTCGACCATGGTGAGATCGGCCAGGGTGTGTTCGGCCATGGTGAGATCGGCCAGGCTGTGTTCGGCCATGGTGAGATCGGCCAGGCTGCACTCGGCCATGGTGAGATCGGCCAGGCTGTGCTCGGCCATGGTGAGATCGGCCAGGATGTGCTCGACTGATGTGAGATCGGCCAGGCTGTGCTCGGCCATGGTGAGATCGGCCAGAGTGTGCTCGGCCATGATGAGCTCGGCCAGGGTATGGTCGGCCAAAGTCCGAGTGGGTCTCACCCTTTGGACTAGTCCGAGAATCAAGGATGAAAAACCTATCTTTGATAATCAAATATTCCCAAGGAAAACCATTATGAAAATCCGTTATGGAAATCCTCACACACACAAGGCCCAGGTGACCCATGAATAGAAAAGTATAAAACCTAAAATCCTAGAGTTAAGACGGCAGATTACACTTTTGAATGCTTTGGCTCTAAGGCTTAACCTAAAAAGAAACCCTAGTCCACCTTTTGGCCGGAACAATATTAATAAATTGCTGTCCGGTGTTTAATATTACGGATCAAAGATGAATAATGGAAATTAACCAAATCAAAGGATAGTTACTGTGAGGAGACTATCCACGAGAAATTAACCAAATTTATCCGTTTTGGAAATTCAACATAATAATATTTCTAAGGTGAGTTTTTGCAAGGATGAAACTATCCGCACAATCAAAGCATAATTAAGCACAACTTTTGGAGGAGACATAAAGTGAACCTAGCAATTAAAAATTGCTTTGCTATAAGCCACCGACGCAAGGGTAGGCATTCTTTGAGAAAATATATCATTTTTAGCTTCTAAATTTCTTCTAAAGCCACCCAGTTGTGATGACCTTTTGATTTTCTCTACAGCTTCTATCAATTAAATTAATTGTCAACCAATCATGCAGGTGGAGATGGAATAAATCAGATGTGTCACATTAAATTTCTGATTACATATATTTTAAGTTTATATGAATATGATTTAATTATTTTGTTTTAATCTTTATAAAGAAAAAAAATATATTTTTACATCTTTGACATTTTGTTAGTGTTTTATTTTTGTCGCTACTATTAAATTTAATTAAGACAACAAAAAGTACGTAATTTAAAATAAGATAATTAAGTGTTTACTTTAAAAAAAAATTTTACAAAAACAAACTCATAATATTCGACTGAATAAAACTTTGAATACAATGCAGAATAAAGTGAATGGAATGGAGGCAATGATTGTTCTTATAATTCCTAGCAATAGTATTAACTACTAAGTTAGCTTGCTTCCTTCTACGTTAATCTCATTTGAGTTGAGTTAGGAGGGCCTTCCTTTAGGACTAATCCATTTGATGACAAGAAGTAGTGTAGAGACTTCCACTTCAGTTACCTTTAGCAAGTAAAGCTTATGGTCCGAGTAGGATTTGACAAGGTGACCTCTTGATGTCAATGAAGGTCCATGTTACATTTGAGAAAACAGTGGAGGAGGGGTCCATATTTGGTGGTGTTGTAGTTTATGGTTATGTTGGTTGTGCCCATTCAAGGAAATATTCTAAGGCTTGGCCAATCGTGTTCCATGGATTAAGATATTTTTCCTCCCAAAGTTAAGTGTTTATGTTATTTCATATATTTCAAAGAATCATGGGGAATTCATTGACTTGAGTATGGTATCTAAGATGCAAAAGCTGCAGATAATATCAGTTTTAAGATAATGAGTTGAAATGTCGAATAATTAAATTATTTTTTAGTACATAATTTGTATGTAATATATTTGTCATTTTATATAAATAAGATAATTAGATATAATATATTTTTATGATTTATTTTAATTTGTAACATTGTTCTAACTTTTTTTAATTCATTAATTTACTTTTAATTTTTTAAATATTATAATTTACTTAAAAGCTTGTGGTATACTTTTATAATATTAATATCAAAAGTGTTAAATTTGAATCATGTAGTTTATTGTAATTTTAATGGATAAAAAATATAAAAATATAATAATTAAATTATTAGTTAAATGAAAATTGACAGTTTTTGTATAAGGAATGGATTTTATTTTATTTTATTTTTTGATTATATGAGGAATGGATTTCAGTAACACAAACCATCTACTATTGGCTTATAAAAAAAATCCATCTACTATTGATTGTTATCCATTATTAACCTGCATGTTTAAAATCCAACCCATTCTAAAAACGGTTTAAACTGGTTGAATTACTTTGTTGATCTAGTACAATTTTTTAAATGACGATATTTTTTAATATTTATCTTAAAGATTCAAAATAATAATAATATTCTAATTTTAAGTATAAGCAACAAATTGAATTATTCTTTAATTCTAATGATAAACAACAATTATTAGTAGAAACATATAATTATTTTTTAATTATTCTAATTACAACAAAATTTATCCTCCATTATCAACAAATTAGATTTTTTTAATCTTAAATAATGTAAAAGCAACAAATTGAATTCTTCTTTAATTTTAATTATTAACAACAATTATTAGTACAAACGTACAACTTTTTTTGTGTGATCATATTTTAAATGTGCCGTATGTAAGCATTTAATCACTAGGGCCTAGGTGGCCCAGTTGATTTCAATTATAGGCTTCTAAAGGTTATTGAAAGGACGTCCTCCATTGCAGTTTTGTTGAATATATTTCTCTCTTTGTTAAGTTTGATTATGTTCCTTTTTAAGAAATATGATCAAATGCATAACATGCTATCATATGTAATTCAAATGTTCCCACACGATAGAAATATACAACGACCTAGCTAGTTTTCTTGTATTCACTTTTATGCTTTTGTTTCTACATCTAAAATCAGTTTTACGAGTAGCAGTTGACACAAAAAATTTCTTAAAATCAATTTTGTTTCTTCTAACTAGTGATCTAAGAATATCAGTTACAGAATTAAAAGTGATTTTTTTATTATTAAAAAGTTGCACTAAAAATTATGAAAAAAAAAAACACTATTACTTCCTAATAAGAAAAATATAATTTAAATAGTTTAACCGGTCGGACATTAGTTAGTATTAATTCTTAATTTATTACAATTTAATTTTGTATAACATGTTTTAACTATAATGTCACATTATCCCTTGAAGGAAAAATAAAATTACTTTTTATCTTTACATATAAAATCGTTTTTACTTCATTGTTTGTCTCTTTTTATAACTTTTTTTAATTGTCTCTTATATTAATTATTTTTTTCCTATAATACCCTTCATTAATTGACAATTTTTTAAAGAAAAATAATATTAAATGCTGGAAATTAATGAAATAAAATATTGCTCTCTTTTATTAGAATTGAAAAAAAATGAGTAGACATAATTTCAAATGATTAATATTCTCTTTCTAAATATTAATTAATCAGGTCAAAAAAATTAAATAGAAAAAAAATGATTAATCTAGAAACTTATACATCCTGTCAATGCCATCCCCATTCCCCAGTTAATCAATGATAGTCAACATTGTTTCATATATATGCGTATCACATGATGGTAAATTAACCTCTTTCACACTACAACTAGATTACTCTATATGTTAACGTCATGAAACATGTTTGTCTCCCTAACAATGTCAAACTTATTTTTTTTTTGGTAACATAAAAAAATACTCATTATATATATAAACCCGCAATTACCTTACCAAGCGTGCATTCTCTTTGTATTCCCAATCATTTAACCTTCCGAGAGCAATAAAAAATGGCCTTGCCAGCAGGTGCCGAACACAGTACTCATGCATGGCGAACCTTACTAGAAAAATCACGTTCTAAGTTAGTTAACTTCACAAAGGTGGTAATAAAACTCGGAAAAGATGACCCCAGAAGGGTTATTCACTCCTTTAAGGTGGGATTGGCCCTAGTTTTGATCTCTATCTTGCAACATCTTCGCCCCTCCTTCTATGCTTTTGGTGACAACATTATGTGGGCGGTTCTCACCGTTGTTCTTGTCCTTGAATTTTCTGTTGGTAAGTAACTTTTTAGGACTCCTTTCAATATATATTTAATTGTGTTAACAAAAATGATATATATGAGCTAAGCTTTGTAACATTTTCAGGTGCAACACTCGGAAAAGGTTTAAATAGGGTGTTGGCAACGGGGTTAGCTGGTGCTTTGGGTGTTGGGATTCGTAGAATAGCTAGTTTTTCTGGGGATAAAGGAAAGGCTGTACTCACTTCAATCTCTGTCTTTTTCATAGGTAATTAGTTAATTATTTTACTAATATGTAATACACCATGCAATGTTAATACAAGAGTCATACTCGATTCTCATTGCATACGAAAACTCGTCGATTTAACGATAATCACAGGATAGTACAAATATAATTATTTTCGGATTCAATGAGTTAAAATATATACCCATGACAAAAAAAAAAAAAAAATTGTTAACATGAGAAGTACTAGTATTCTCTAACGCATTAATCTCAGCAAACACGCTTTTAATTTTTAAAATTTATAATAAAAAAACATGTAATTAGATTATGAGAGATTTATTAAATAATATGTGAGATTGGTCAAATTTTGCAATTCGCAATAAAATTTAACTAATATATAAAAGAACATGTTAAAAATAGTGTATTATATATATTTTTTTAACATTTATGACGTGCTAGTTCTCCTAAGTTCTCAAAGTTAATTTAGAATTAAGTGTTTAATGGGAATGGTTGTTTTCTATAATTTGCAGCTGGAACAGTGACGTATATGAGATTTTACCCGCGAATGAAGGCGAGATATGATTATGGAATGATTATATTCATATTGACCTTCTGCTTAGTTACTCTTTCGGATAATACAGAGAATGAACTATTAAAAGTTGCTCAAGAGAGGCTATTAACAATCATCATTGGGAGCTGTATAGCTATTATGGTATGTATTTGCATATGCCCTGTTTGGATTGGACAGGATCTCCATAATCAAATGGCTGTCAGTATGGACAAACTCGCGGACTTTTTGAAAGGTAATGTTATTTATTATTATTATTATTATTATTGTCATACCTATTTTTTTTTTTTATTTTTGTTGGAATTGTTATACCTAAATCTTGAACAATATTATCATCACGCTCTAATAATTTTGTACCATATGCATATAAATTTTTTTCTTTTGTACGGAAGTAACTACTAATTGGTGTATTTGAGATGCATTTCCTCTAACTCCTGAAAAAAATATTATATGGACTGGATTAAAGGGATCGGTCATCCTAAAATTAGGATTCATTTTTTGTCGCAAATATTCACTTGTAGCATACTATATCTCAATGGATTGACGTAATTTTTCTATCGCATGTACATTTCCATAATGGTGATGTTTCACTTTCGTTTTTTTTTTACTATATAGAAAAGGACATTAAATGTTAGAGTAAAAAAAAAAAAAAGTGCTCCTTAAATCTCGTGTATCTGCCTAAGCATCTTAGAAAAGCATTTATCGTTTTTAAAATGTTGAACAGTTATATTAATTTTCCATACACTTTTTATATAATATATATATATATATATATATATATATATATATATATCTTTATCACATTACTCATTTTGTTTCATTTTTTTCTTCTCTGACTTTGTCTCTTTTTTAATTATAGAAATAATTATAAAAAGATATGTAAAAATAAAAATTTCCCACTTCAGAATCCTGCTTTGAGTCGGTTAATGGGGAAGAGTCAAAATGCAAGTCCAAGTAACGACTGATCATAAATTTCATTCTAAACAAACCACTAGGACTACCTTTTTTTTTCTTCTCATTTATTATTGACTATCGAGAAGAGGATTCTTATTCAAGTTCATTTCTTCGGTCATCTTTTCTGACTCTCAAAAATAATTAAAATGCTTCGAAATTCTTGAGTTTGGTCATTGTGATTGATGCGTAATGGAATTCATTTTAGAAATGAGTTTTTGACTTTATTTTTCTGCTTGATCGATTTGACTAATTAATGTATAGGTTCAGTGGTTTTTTTCTTCCTTCACATATTGGTGCAATAATCCTTTCAAATCGCATAACCTTTTTACCCAAAATAAAAATAATGAAACTCAAAAATAATGAAAATAGTGGCCATCCGCAGGATTTGGAGATGAATACTTCAACAATTTAGAGAATGCAACAGAAGGTATGAGTGATAAGCCATTTCTCCACAGATATGAAAGTGTCCTCTCTTCAAAAAGCAGTGAAGAAACAATGGTGAACACCAATAACATTAATTAATTAATGTTCTCTCACATAACCTTTTTATCCAAAATAAAAATAAACAATACTCCATCAATTCATCTCATTAATCTTCTATATGTATGTTTCATTTGTTTTGACATGTATAGGCTGTTTTGGCAAGATGGGAACCTTGCCATGGCCGGTTCAGATTTCGTCACCCATGGAAGCAATACTTAAAGATTGGGAACCAAATACGGTTGTGTGGTTACAAATTTAAAGCTCTTAGTGTCTTCCTTCTTCGCTCTGACCAAGTATGCTATTTTAGTACTTCTTCGATTCTCCATTATAAATAAATAAATAAAACAATTTAACGTGTAAATGCATATATAGTTAAGTTGGTAAGTATATATACTAACATTGTTTTTTGTTCTTTGCCCTACAGACCCCATATGAATTTCGAAGCAGGATTCAAGAGTCATGCACAAATATCAGCATGGAATCTGGTAAAGCCCTCAAAGAATCATCATTGATGCTCAAACACATGGCGAAATCATCAATGCCGAATTCCCATGTTGCAAATGCTAAAAATGCTGCTGAATCTCTTAAATCCGTTCTAAGAACAAACCCGTGGGAAGGTGCTGATCATCTAGAGATAATACCAGCAGCTACGGTGGCATCACTTCTAATTGATGTTGTGGTTTGCGTTGACAATATTTGTGAAGCCGTTGACGAACTAGCAACCCTAGCAGACTTTGTGCCTTCTGATGAGTTGCTTCATCGAGGAACAGTGCAGCCAATTTCTGATCATGATGCTTCGGTTCATGTCATCAACGTTGCTGATGCTGAGTGACCATCAAGATTAATTACATGAAAAGAACGGAATTACTCATAATGATTGTAAACACTGACCAAGGAAATTGCTCAATGAATTAAGTTGTACGCACACAAAGCTGTTACAATAAAATAATTATTGTTTCTATTAGGTAATATGTCATCACTGTTGCTGGTTTGCATTTAGGCTCATTCAGAAATGTAAAAATTTAGCACACAAAGTGCATTATAATTAATGTTACTCCATGCGTCTCTTTTTATTTTTTATTTTGTCTTTTTAATTATTTTTTTAAAATAAATGACATTCTATAGTTTTAAAATTTTATTAATACTTTTTCTTAATTATACTCATTTAATAATATATTACTCATCAATATTATTCACTTATTTAAAAAAAAATGAAATACTAGAGTTGATATGATGAGATATTAAATAAATAATAATTTAGACTAATAAATTTATATTTATTAAATATTCCTTAGTTTGTGTGCATTAACAAGATTAATAAATTGGGATAGAGAATAATTAGAAACTAATAATTATTGGAATTTTGATAAAAGTATCAACAACATTAGTATCTCACATGTGTATATCTTATGTTTAAGAAATTATATATTTAATTTTTTTCTCATTGGAATCTGCTTACATGGCATACTGATTATCTTAAGTTAAATTTAAGTTTCATATTTTGTATAAAATATGAAAAATTATGAATAAAAAAAATATTGTTTACACCATGCCAGCAAACCGAGAAAAAAATGAAAAAAAATCATTTTTTATTTAAAATATAGTAGCTTATGAAATTAATTAAACCCGAATACTCTTGCTTGTTGAAGAGGTTTGATGGAGGATTTTTTTTTTTCCAGAGAGAAACCTAATTGCAAATGAAATGCCTTATATAAGCATGATTTAGTACTATAGAACTAACAAAGATATACACAAGTAGGAATATTCTATATTTTTTAATTAGGTCGTTCAGAAAATATTTTTTTATTTATAATTTTTGAAAGAAATTAGTCATTATTTTTAGTTGTGTATATTTTTACCTATTTTACTTAAGAGATATATTGAATTGAGATTTTATAAAACTTTTTTAACCTAAAAAAAATCTTGTGAATTTTAAAAGGTTTTATAAGAATTTAATGACTTTAAGTTTTTTTTAAAAGATCTTGTAAAAATGTAATGACTTTAAGATAATTTTTAAAAGACTTCTTTAACAAATACTTCGATGTGAATTGTAATATATTTGTGTCTTAAGAATTTGTAAGATTTTTCGATGTGATTTCACAAATTAGTTGGATTTTAGCACATGCAACTCTTGAAAATGGCTTTTGGCCAAATTTAGTAAAGGATCGTGTTTTATTTATTTATTTTTTATTATCGTGTCAATCAAATTAAACCTCACCAAATAAAAAATAAATACCCTATTATTAAAATATCATCCATATTTATGAGCCTTACTTTTATGTGTACATGCAAGCACGAGGTTGGCTTGAATTAATTTTTTACATGAGTCAAAATGGAATTAGATTTGAACAACAGTTTCAAACATAAGATTAGCTTGTCTATTTCTAAACAAAACAAGTAAGCAACGTGCTGTGTTGAGGGGTGAGACTGAGACCATGAAGTTATGAAGAAAGTATGTTCTGACTTCTCGGTCTAAATTCTTGATGCCGTTCTCAATTAAACGTGTCAAAAGTCACATATTGTCATCGCATTCATTTCCACCAAATCAAGCCGCACGCGCATTGCAATTCATTGACTTGATTTTTCCTCCATTCCAGCATTAAAACTTTATGTTCAAGCACTTTACAACAATTTTGATGTCTCTACAACGTTGGTGGGAGTAATAATCGATTCAAATCCCTTCAACAAATTGTTAGAGATTAGGACGACTATGTTCGGTTTTATTTCTAACATGTTCAAATTGATTTTATGACGGTCAAATTCATATATTTGAAAGTAATTACTATAACAAAATAGATTTTTAGTGATATTTAATATGATTTTTAGTGGTAGTAAAAATTGCTACAAAATCTTTTACGAGCATTTTTACATTAGACATATATGCAGTGTTGCTAAAACATTTAGCGGCAATTATTCTAAATGGTAAAAACCTTTATAATGATCGAAAAAATGTATAACTTTTTGTGACATTTTTTACTTTCTAATCGATGTGAGACTTGTAAAATGAGTACAAATACTCTTTAATTACTTTATCTTTAGTTATTATTCATTTATATACTCTTTAATTATCTTATTTCTAATTGATGTAAGATTAAAGTTTTTCTTAATATATAATTGTCGTTAATAGTAAATTTTGGTGTGATATAAATATATTTTTAGTGACCATTATATATTAGTCATTAATATTTTTATTAAATAATAAAATAAATAAAATTAATTTATTATTGTTAAATAATTGTCAGTAAAAATAAATTTTGTTTTAGTGAATTATTAGAATCTGTTTCATTAAACAAAATTAATTTTTTTTTATTTATCTAAATTTATAATTATACGCTCAAAATCAATTTAGATAACAAATTTTTAAACTATATTTAATATCAAAATTGTACCGTGGTGGTCTTTCATTGGCCGATCCAAGGCACGTCAGTAAAATACCGATCTAACATGCTCTTCGCACCTTAGTGCTCGAGCATGGAGGGCTATGTACCGTGGTGGTCTCTCATTGGCCGATCCAAGGCACGTCAATAAAATACCGATCTAACATGTTCTTCGCACCTTAGTACTCGAGCATGGAGGGCTATGTACCGTGGTGGTCTCCCATTGGCCGACCAGGGGCAGGTCGGTAAAATGCCGATCACACAAGAGGGACCCAAATATGGGGAGATTGACTAGCTCGCTCGGATAATCAATAAGATCCCACGATCCGTGGGAACGGTAATAAATACCGGGAGTTACGAGTCCATAATGGGGCATGATTTATGGGATCATAAGTGCGATTCATGTCTATAACGCTACACCGTTATATATAGCAATGATTAGGTCTAAGGAGGCAGGTTACTCTCATTGAATGTTCTAGATTAAGACTGCTACCAAGTTCTTTTAGCTCAGTATCGCTAAGGGTTATTGGGCGGCGGTCTCCAATACCGGAACATTTTGGCGCCCACCGTGGGGCAGGTAAAACTGCATCCCACACCCTTGTTGTTTGACGTGAGCGGAAGGTCATAATGACGAGATCTCTAAGAAGCAATGCGACAGGAACCAATATGGACAGTGCCGTTGAGGTCATAACTGGGAGCTCTGGCGGAATGGAAAATCCCATCCCTCCCGCCGGCGGCCACACCTTAGAAGAAGTCTTGGTCGCAATGAAAACCTTACGACGAGAAAATGAAGAAGCGCGATGCAGAGATTGGGAAAAGAAGCGGCGGAGGATTGACGATAGTGTGTTCGTCTCGGCCTTAGAAGAAAGCGACGACGCATCACAGGAAGACGCGGCCGCAGAAGACGCAGCCGTGGGATATAAATCGGAAACCTCCGATAGAAATCCACTGTCTCCGTCGTCAAAAATCCCCGCTGCCGCTTCCGCATGGTCTCCAATACCGGAACAAAAATTAAGTCCATATTTTTTATCATCTTAAAAAAAATCACGATACTTTAATTATATTAAAAGTATATCTAAGCACACTTAAACTAAACTATTATATTGTATATGAAAAAAAATACTTTTAGATTCAAAGAGATTATTCTTAATAAAAGAGCGGAAATACTCCTTGTAATTAAACGTGTAAAAAAGAAAAATACAACACGGCATATTGACAGTTATTGTCGTGAAGCTTTCTGTCAGTTTGTAACTCAAATTCATCCCTTAATTTTTTTTTTTTTTTTTTTGCATCCATCCCTTATTATATTTGTCACTGAAATTACAGATAAAATGCCCCCATTTACTTGCAATTTGCATGCAAATAATTCCAAGGGTTGATCTATAATACAAATGTTTGACCCCTTACATTTTGGTGAATGTTTAATTTTCTAATATGTATACTCTTTAGGAGAACAATCATCGGGGAAAGTCTAAATTGTAAATAGAATATTGTTGGATTGATATATTGTCCTTTGGCTTTGGATTTATAGTTCAACAACTAACAACTTTGCCTGCAAAGACGGATCGGCCTACAGTAATTAAACTTTTTATTAATAGAGGAACACTCTATCTTCTATAGTACTTTCTTTTATTAATTATCATAGTATTTTATAAAATTAAAATAAATATATTTACAATATATATTAAAAATCTAAAAATATTTAACACCTTTTTACATAATGAAAAACTATTAACATAAAATATTATAAGATATTTAGTTTCATATATACCTATTATTACATTCATCCTTATAACAAGTTATAAATAACTTGTTATTTATAATAAGGATACACTATAACTTGTTTCTTATATCTTATAGTAAAAATAGGAAGTAGTATAACATTTATTGATACAAGGATCTTGGTAATAGATAATCTTTAAGTATTTATATAAGTATTTTTTTAGCCTTACCTAATGAATTCTTGGAATCCAAGCCACTTAAAGCTTTACTTATGTATACCATTTAAAAATTTAAATAAATATTTTTAGAGTCACTATGAAATAAATTTAAATATATTTTTAGTCTCTAAAAAAATAACAAATTTTAATTTTGATTTTCATAAAATTTTTATTCCTCTAAAATTTAGAACCGTACTTTTTAGTCTCTAATATTATATAATTATTTTTAATTACTTATTTATTTATTAAAATACCAAGGAATCATTTCAAATGTTATCCACAATTATTAGTGATATATATTAGTATATAACATTTCAATTTTTTACATGTTTTTAAAATAAATATTATTTATTTATCTTTAAATCATTTTTAAGGACTAAAAATAGTAATATTAAATTTTTAGAGGATTGATAATCAATGAAAAATATTTTATAGAAACTAGAATCAAAATTTATTCATTTTACAAGATAAAAATATTTTACAACGACTAAAAACAATTTTTACAAATTTTAAAAAATAAAAAATAATAATAAATTTTTACATAACCAAAATCAAAACTCTCATTTTACATAAACTAAAAACATGTTTAACATTAAAAAAAATTATTAACCTTATTAATCACTAATATGAAATTTCTTGTCCAATCACATGTACCATCCATAAGATTCAAACCCTTCAAAGATATACTTTTATTCGCCCATAAGAAAAATCCCTCCAATATCATAACATGTATTGATTAGTTTGTTGCAAGTGTGATTATGAAGTTAACAAGATTCAATCGGCCTTGGAGTGATAGTGAAAGCCCAATACGGTATGGTTTTTGGAATTCTCAATACGGTATTAGTCACTTTATTTATATATTTATTTTTAAAAGTATATTCCGCACCGATATCATAAAAAAAATATTTAATTTGTTTGTCTATATGGAAGGAGAAAGAGGAAGATGAAATTTAGCGTTTGGGCCATCGAAAGAGGTCCATTGGGTGGAGTTGGGCATAAAAGGAAGCACAAGTGGGAAAGCAAAACAAAGCAGCATGGGTGATGCATACCAAATCGACGTTTTCTGGCACGAGGGAATGTTGAAGCACGACACTGGCAATGGTGTTTTTGATAAGGGAATGGATCCAGGGTTCTTAGACGTGTTGGAGAAGCACCCTGAAAACTCAGATAGAGTGAGGAACATGCTTTCTATCCTCAAAAGGGGTCCTATCGCCCCTTACGTTTCTTGGCACCACGCTACACCTGCTCTCTTATCTCAACTTGTTTCGTTTCACACTCCAGGTACCTACTATTTCCATCACCATTCATTCTTAGGATTCTCGATTTTGCTCAAATTTCGTGCTTTGCATAATTTCTTTTTTGAAATTTTATGGATTCGAGACTTGTCAGTTGCTAACAATGGAGAATTGGATATACAATTTAGGGCTCGGCAACATGACAAATGTATTGGAATTATTTTTAAATATAATTATATAAATTATAACTATTTTATTATATTTTTAATGAATTTAATTAATATATAATAATATTAAATCCTCGTTTCAGCGGTGTTTAGACTATGTGGAATGTTTATATATATACATGTTGAAGTATCCTTATATTCTAGGATTAAGTCTACTTAGACTTCTTCTATTCAATAACTCATGTTCTACATCAAATTTCAATGATCTAACTGTTTAAGTTAAAATTCTTAATGTATAGATCAAATCTACAAATTTTTAAAAAATTTAAAAATCATCTGATACTTCATTTCATTTATTCGAATCAATGTATAAAATAATTTATTCATTATCCTTTAATTTGAATTAATGAAATGAAGTATCAAATGATTTTTAAATTTTCTAAAATTTTACAAATTTGATCTATGTATTAAGAACTTTAAATTAACCAGTTGGATCGTTAAAATTTGATGTAAAACATGAGTTATTGAACAAAGTAAGTCTAGATAGACTTACTCCTAGAATAAAAGGATCCCTCCTCTCCCTATATATATATATATAATATGATGAGAGATTCATTTATTATAAGAATAAATCTATTTAAACTTATTTAGTTCAATAACTTATATTAATGATAGAAAATGTTTTTTATGTTTTTATTTATTAGACACTTTAATTTATAAAAAAAAACTATTTGCTCACGATAAGTTAAAGTCTTGAATTTGATAAAAAGAATCTTAAGAGGGATAAAAGATAATCTTAATGCTCTCAAGATGTTGAGAGTGATTAGTCTCCTATGAATAAATTAACTAAATTGTATTTTTGTTCTCTCTATTTTTGACAATTCACAATTTTGATCTCTATTTTGAATAAGAGATATTTAGTTTCTTTATTTTTAAAAATATAAAATTTTGGTTGATTTGATATTTGTTGATCATGAAATTTAAATTTTGATGCTGATCTCAGGGACGTGTGACTATTTAAGGGACATAATATTGAATTAAATGACATGTAGAAATAAAAGTTAAAAAATAACATTAAAATATATATATATAT